AGTGGAGCCTGAGTGGTGGGTGTTGCCTTCTGACATCACCTCTGGTGATGTCAGGGGGTGTGGCATATGCAAATAAGTTATGCTAATATGTTATGCTAATGAGCTCCTGCACCTCTTTTTCTACGAAATGACCCCTGGTCTCACCATATCTTAATCCAGCTCTGAGTGTCCCTTTAACCTATTTTTCTCAAATCAGCCAAAAGTAACATGCACACTCCTCAGTTTAATTAAGAAAACAACCATTTCCCTTCATATTACTAGGGATCTATATTCCTAGTAATTGTTTCTAGATCTTTTGTCACATAAATTTGGGTATATATATTTTGAAAACACTGTACAGAGTAGACTTTTGCCTATATAGTGTTTTAAAGATTATTAATAATATTTTTGCAATTTTAGTCATTGCCCTTAACCTTATTAACTGTATTTCTGAATAACAAATGCATATACTGTTTCTTTTACTTGTATAAAATTGAAGAAATCTCAAGTCCTTTAGTCAACTTTGCCAGCTAACTCCCTCATTCCCCAACTACTTTCTTTCAGAAGTATCTGTAGGGCTTTGAGTACAAAAGAAATTTGGATTCACTTAAATAATAGAGTTCAGTGTCATAGCTTGTAAATCTATCACTTGAGAGATAAATACAAATGCCAGCCTCCATGCAAGTTATTTTTGAAACTGAATATTATGTTGTAACCTATTCCTATGTATTGTTCTAGTTGCAATTGTTGAAACAGTGACTTGATTAAAATTAAACCACCTAACTATGGTTTGGCTACTGGGTCTGAACCTCAAACTTGCAGCCAGTGACTGAATATGTCAATGGAAGTCTGGTACTAAGTATCTGAGTTTTCCTGGGAACTGAAAGGCTAAAAACAATGGAACCCTCAAGTGCAGAAGAAATATATGCATGGAAGACAGATGCTGGGCAAGCTTCAGAGGATGTCTTCATAAGTCCTGCTTCTGGTCTTCCAGAATCATCTGAATGGCAAAACTGGACTAGATTGATTGTGGTATTATGCAGCTTGTGTTAAGTAGTCCTGGAAGGAGACCCACATATGTATGATTGAAAATTGTACACATTCCAGTTCCAGAATTTAGGGTGTGTGTGTTCTAATAATTTTTATATGGAACTTCAGAGTTTAAAACTTTTTCTGGTCCTTGATTACCAATCAAAGGCACAAGGCAACTATTTTTTTCTTCTTCAGTGTTCTTGTTACATTAATGGAGCTCCAACTATTATTTCTGTGAAACAAAAAAGTACATCACACTTAGGAATATTAAATAAAATAAGTTGTTAAAATCCAATGAAGAGATAAACTCAGTGACTTTTAAAATGTATTTGTGGCTTTAAACAAACATTTTCTGACATTTCAATATTCCTTTCTAATTAAAAAGCTTATATTAAAAAGTCAAAATTGCATTGGCAAGGATCATCCAGATGATCAAAGTATTAAACTAGTTAGAGTTCTAACCATCTGGGAAGTCTTTTCCCTATATCTACACACAATATTTTTGCAACATTTAGAAGTTATTGCTCCTGGTGTCCAAACATTTAACGGCATTCAATTTCAATTTCCTATCCCTATATTTTCATATATAATATCCAAAAAAACCCCAAAACCTGAACAGTTTAGCGTGTTGACTAATGGCTGTTTTATTTTTTTGAAAAAAGTATTTGTGTCAATGAAATTGAATACCAGTTGGCCTTTGCTACACTGCTAGCAACAAAAGTAACTGCTGATTTCCCCCTAGATATTGAACGAGTTTCCCTGTACATAAAAAGATATTACCTTAAATGTATACATGGTTCAATATTTCATTTATCACCTATAACATAATGAAATATTTATTATGTTTTTATTTCACATGTATTCCAAGCAGCAGTACATAGCCTAATGTTTTACCTAGCTACATTCAAGCAAATTAGGTTAGGCAGAGAGATGGTAACTGGCCCAAGATCACATAGTTAATTCCATAGCTGATTTGAACCTGGATCTCCATAATCAAAGTCCAGTCTATTACACCATACTTCACTGAACAGTACTGTAAATATTTCAATAAGTTACTCAGTTTCTTATTGATTACACATGAATTATCCCTTAATCTTCAATAGATTTAGGGCTGCCAAGTCTCCTGAGACTCAGATCTTGGTAACTGAAATATAAGGGATGGAAGATCACCACACCTAAAAAAGGATATTATAGCGTTGGAAAAAGTGCAGAAAAGGGCAACTCGAATGACAAAAGGGTTGGAACACTTTCCCTATGAGGAAAGGTTAAAGCGCTTAGGGCTCTTTAGCTTGGAGAAACGACAACTGAGGGGTGACATGATCGAGGTTTATAAGATTATGCATGGGAAAGAGCAGGTAGGGAAAGAGGTACTTTTCTCCCTTTCTCACAATATAAGAACTTGTGGGCACTCAAAGAAATTGCTGAGCGGTCGGGTTAGAACGGATAAAAGGAAGTGCTTCTTCACCCAAAGAGTGATTAACACATGGAATTCACTGCCACAGGAAGTGGTGGCGGCTACAAGCATGGACGGCTTCAAAAGGGAATTAGATAAGCATATGGAGCAGAGGTCCATCAGTGGCTATTAGCCACAAGGTATAGATAGGGGCTCTGGGGCAAGTGATGCTCTGTCTTCTTGGTGCTTGGGGGGGATCAACAGTGGGATGGCTTCTAATGTACTGGCCCCACTGGTGGACCTCCTGATGGCACTGGTATTTCTGGCCACTGTGTGACACAGAGTGTTGGACTGGATAGGCCTTTGGCCTGATCCAACATTGACATCTCTTACGTGCTTATGTTCTTAACATCTAAAAAAGGCAGACCTGCTTTTTACTAATTTCAATAGTCACTAATTTAAATACATTAGATATATGCAGTATACAATGAGCCCTAAACTAGGACAAAACAACTGAAAAGGTACTAAAAACAGCTTTAAAACAACTGAAACAAAGTTTTAAGTTGCTTAAAATCAACTTTAAAAAAAAAACCAACAACAAAAACACAAAGAAAGGACCAGAGGAAAACCAACCTTAAAACTTTAAAACTAAAAGATCATTTTGCTATAACTTCCTGCAAAAGGATCAAGCCACCCAGTAACCAGCTATATAAATAAATACAGCTTGCTCAGTTCTTCCTATTTATGACAATATAATATAACATAAATAACTAGGAACAAAATTGAGCTATTTTCTTGCCCACACAACCCCCACCAGAAGCCATATATCGTTTGCCTCACTGCAAGTAAGTAAAAAAGAAAATAAAACAAGGGGTTTCAAAACAGCAAGTTACCTAGGAGCCAGAGCCATAACTACGCAGAGCTGATAAGTAGCTGCAACAACAACAGCATTAATCAGTTGAGGGAGAACTCCTCCACACTACACACACACACACACACAAACAAGTACACAAACACTTACATACACAGAGCTGCTGGCACTGCCTAACGTGTGGAGAAAACTTTCAGTTCGCATTTATTAAAACCTCCCCCTCCCACCCCTTCACCAAAGTGGCAAAGGGAAGAATTAAAACAGAATACAGATAAACTATTTCAAACTAAGACTAAAATCAACCAAAATTAAGCAAAACAATACTCCCCCGTAGTGGAACACAGCCCATAAACCTCATTAAAAATGTGTGAAAGCAACGTATGTCTTAATTAAGCATACAATTAACAGGCAGGTTTCATTGTATGTCTTCCTAAAATAAAACAGTGGCATTGGATCAGAAATACATATATGTAATATAATCGATATCAATTCTTGACATAAATAATCTTGAATGCTGCTGAGAAGGTTTTATGAGATTTTGCATACTTTGCCTCCAGTGTCTTCTTATATGAAAAAAGAGAGCTTTGCATTATAATCACAAAACATTACTTCGCTTAATCAACATGTGTTTCAAACCTACTAATAATGCAAGGCTCATATATTTGTACTTTGAAACAGAATTCAATTTTACCAGCTCTAAAAGTGAAGAGGTGTCCCTTAAGCCTGACATGTGAATTAGAATTAGCACCAGTGTTGAAAATATTCATGTTACAGTGATTTATTGCAATTAAGCTTCCACTAAGCTACTTGGAAATGTACAGGAAAGTGCCAAAATTGATTTAATACCAAAAGAAAATTGACAGTTTATTATTTTGAAGTGGAATGATATAATCTGTGATTAGCATTCCGTATCAAAATGCCAGTTTTTAGAGCTGTTAAGTGTGTTTAATATAGCAGCTGAACCATGGCTTGAAGAAATACCTAAATGACTTGAAATAAATTCAGTGAAATCCATTCATCACAAGTACAATTCACATGGGCAGGTGGAAGAGTAAAATTCCCCCCTCCAAGAGTTGATGTGTTCTGCAAATCTGAATTGTATAGAGAAAGTGTTTTTTGCCTAAAGTATAGATTCTTGTTACACTTCTTCAAGAGGCGCATACCTAACAGGTTATTGATTTGGATCTTGAAGGACACCATGTTTATTATGTAGGAAACCACTGCCGGCCACAAGCATGAGAAATTAATGATAGTTTTGTAAGTGTCCATGCTGCGGAACTGAGGCAGTGGGGCACCTGTCAATCTATATGATAATACAACTCTGAACTTCATAAAATCAGTGATGGGAAAACACATTGATTTTCTTGAACTAAACCGGATTTTTCAAACAGAAAAACAAGAAGTTTACTAACAAATCACATGCATATACAAAAGGCTTTTTCTATAGGTCTTTATATCTGATCTCTAGTGGATTTTAGTATGTTCATTCTTCAAATTAATATGAAACCCAATTATACAAAAAGTGCTATTCTGAAAAGATACAGTACAAAGGTCCAGATTTATAAGGAGATCCTACAGATGAAAAAAAAAATCACACATCCCCTCCCAACATTTAAGGACTGGAGGTTGCTCACCATAGTTGGAGATTACCCTGTTATTTTCATTGCATTTACATTTCATTAGGAAAAAGGAAAGTAAAACCTTTTACCCATGTCATATGGTAAATCAGTGGCAGAGGTACATTAAGGAATTTACTGAAGAAACAGGCCTACCGTTTTCCTCATCTGATTTATTTTCATTGTCAGAATCAGTCAGGGTAAGGGCAGAATTTTCGCGGCTTGACAGACCAGAACTGCGCCTGGATTTAATCCCTCTACCCCACAGTCGTATGGCATGCTCTGGAGACATTCCTCCCTCTATATCTGAGTCAGCATCAGACCCAGTGCTGAGGGAATAGCCTTGATGAAGTATTCCTATGTCTGAGCAGTAATCACTTCGATGGGGAGAGGGTTCACAAATCCCTAGTTCAGCAAGGGTGAAGTTTGTTCCTAGGAAAACAGAAGAAGAAAAAGAGAGAAATTAAAACCTAGGAGAAAGCTTTCAAAAATGAACATAAATGTATTTGAAAAGAAAGTAACAGACCTTTTTACCTTCCCATTCATGTAGAACCATATGTACAGAACTAGATCCAGGTAGGTAGTCGTGTAGGCCTGAAGCAGTAGAACAAAGTTTGAGTCCAGTGGCACCTTTAAAGACCAACAAAGTTTAATTCAAGGTATGAGCTTTTGTGTGCATGCTTTCGTGTATCTGAGGAAGTGTGTGTGCACACGAAAGCTAATACTTTGAATAAAACTTTGTTGGTCTTAAAGGTGCCATTGGACTCAAACTTTGTTCCATGTGCAGAACTAGGTTGTATAGATATTGTCAACGCTGTTCAGATGGAACAATATAGCAAAGATGCATTAAATAAATGTTCAATATGAGTATACCTAGCTAGATTGGGTTCACTTTCACTATCATGAGTTCTCTTTGTGGAATTCTCTTTGTGGAAATATTAAAAATAATGAGACTTGGGATGTTAGTAAGAAGATGGAGGCCTATGATGAACTTGTAAAATCTTGTGCACATCATATTATTCTTTAATTGCAAAAATCAACTGCAGAAAACCCAATAACTAGAATGTGTACAGAATATTATTTGTAATATGCAAATATTTACTTGGATAAAGAGAGAAATGTAATGCAAGAACTCATGACAGTTATCCTCACAAGTTATTCGTAGATGAAATAGAAGTATTAGAAGTAAATTAGTAAAAGAGAAATGGGCATTCAAAGCCAATATGCCATCTAGGTAATATTTATTGTAAAGAAAGAACAGCTGCTATTATTTATTTTAGATTGTATTTATATATGCCTTGGTCATAAAACTTGCATTGGTAAAACTTTTGTAAACAGATAGTTGGAAACTCCAGATAGTAATGTCATTTAGTAAAAATTCTCATTTCAATTTCAGTTTTGTAACTCTCTCCCTTCATTTATTTTTGATTTTTAATTTATAATATTAGGTGTGACGTAAGAACAGATATGATACAATTGCTGTATGCTGGTTTTGCCCATGCCTTCATATTTTGAAATGAGGTTACAAATGCCAGTCTCTTTCTAAATAAGTGATGTGAAATTAGAGTAACTGAGAGATTGTTTTTTTAAATAAATCATACAAAATGAGCACAATAACAGATCCATCAGTATAGATGTCAAGAGAGATCTGTAAAGGTGTTTTATTAATTAATAACTGAAGGATGTAATAAAACAGTGAAGACTATACTGTTCTTCAGTGATCCTTCTACCATCACTCCCAATAAGAAGAAAATACAGAGAAGTTTAAAATGTATTATTCTTTTTCAAACAAATGCAGACATGAACACAATCAAATTATGAATATATCCACTTAAATAAGATGTTTTACAAATACAGTAAAATATTTTAATGATACACTGTAGAATTCAATAGCCTTTAAATGCCCAGATGTTTACACTCTAATTAGCATTTTATTTTGATTTAAAAATGTAACACTTGATGCCAAAAATGAACTTAATGACTTCTCTTGTTATTTTGTATGTGATCACTTCAAATATAACGAAAGAGATGCAGGGGATAAAGAGTTTGCTTTTTTAGCCATTTCTCATTTTTTTATAAATGAAATGCTTAGCAAAATGCACACGGCTTCCAGTAATCAGCTAATTTTTAAGTGAAATATGCATCAGAACAGAAACACCATCTTCTGACCAGGGTTGCCAGGCCCTTACTGGCTGGTGGTGAGGGGCTCCAAGAACCGGTCTGTGATCTTCCCATGTATGTGCAAAGCACACGCCCCATGATGACATCATCCAGATGTGACGTCATCATGTCGCCAACATCAGGAGGTGACTCTCTAGTTTTTGGGAAACTCTATGGTTTAAGACCAATTTTACCGTAGAGTTTTGCCCCAAAACTAAAGCATCAGCCCCACTGTTGGCAATGTGATGACGTCACTTCCGGATGATGTAATTACATCACGTTCAGAGCCATTTGTGAGTGGGGTTCCCCCCACCGGTCATCTGGCCATTGGCAGAAAGGGGCTTGCAAAAAAAGGGGAACCGAACCCGGACTGGAGGCCTGGCAACCCCGTTTCTTACCCAAGTCAATGGTTCTGCAGTTCCACTGTATAGTATAATGATGATGCCTACAAAGATAAAGGCTAGCTCACATTAATAAATATAAAACAGCCTTTGTTAATTTTTTCACTAACTGTTATCTGTGTATATAATACATTTGAAGTTTCCATAGCAATGATAGTGGTGAAAACCTCCTTCTCTATCACCAGTATATCTGTGGAGTCCCAACCAGTGGATCTTTCCTAGCCCTATCTTATCATGTGAAACACTCAGACAGTACAGCATCTAAGCAACTACTATTGCAACATTTTGGACACGGCAGCACTGGGGTCCCACTGTTTTGGCTTTCAGGACACTAAAGATCTCTTGTGCTGGTGCTAAATCACTTTTTCACCAATGGGGACTAATGTACTGGGGAAAAGGATGGAAAGAGGAAGTTGTAATTTATAACGCCTGTAAGTTATTTTGGGAACATTTTGTTCTGACCTTGATGCCAGTGTAGTATCGGAACTAACTGCAGAGGTATTTAGTGCCTTTCTGTTCTGTTATTCAATGCATGCATCTTTAATTGTTGACATCTGAGGTTATGGACAGTATACTTGGTCTGTTTTTTTCTAGTAAGTGGATTAGCAGATGACCTGGGTCCTTACTATAATTAGTACGTCTATATGGAAAGAGAAAGTTAATTATTTGGTGCACTTCAGGATTTATTCCTCTTCTGAGGTTCTCAGGTCAAGGTAAAGGCCATGACTATCTTTTATTAGCTTTGAATAATTTACCAACTTTCCCCCCTTCCTGGACAAAAACCCCCACATTAGATTACTGTGTTGTTGCCTGGATAACTTTCCTATTGAAATATTGTAAAGCAGTCTACGTGGGGTGCCTTTGAAAGCACTTCTGAAGCATCACGCCAAATCCAGGTTGATCCCTGGTGTTAACTGTAGAAAGTATATAACACCAATTCTGTATTAACATTACCAGTTAGTGGTTTGTTTCTGGGCTGACTTTTTGAGGTGCCGCTGGTTCACTTAAAAGTCCTTTGTGATCTGTGCCCTAGCCAATGAAGATTGTATACATTGCAAAAGGGAGACGGAAAAGCAATGTTCTCTTCTTTTCTCTGCAACCCAACCCAACAGTCATACTCATATCTGCTGCATCTCAAGGCTGGGAGGCAGCGACATTTCCAGGATGAGAGATCAGAAGAACTTGACTTCCAGCTGATCAACTTCTGACCCCCACCCTTGCTGAGTATGGAGCAAAATTTCCCCAGCAGGAGTTCAGAAGTCGACTCTCAGTTGATTCCTGTGACTGCACATGGACAAGTTGCCAACAGTACATGAATGCACCAAACTGAGAAGTGTTTGAGCATCTCTGCTTACAAATGAAGTGGCTATTCATTTTAATGCATTTTCTGGAACTTAGCTATTTTTCCTTAAAATAAATGTCTCACAGTTTTTAAAACAAAATTGCCTAATGTCTCAATGACTTAAGTAATTTATAGGACAGAATTTGATTACCACTTACATTAAAATGATTCTCAGATATGCCTTTGTGGCACAGAACAGACACATTCTTTCAGTACCAGAAACCCATTTCTGACAGGCACAAACACAGCATGCTACACTTGCATATTTCCTTCTCCCTTTTCTTTGTGAACATAAAATGATTTATTGTAGCACAAGCTTTCCATTTTGTTTCCCCAAATTTAAAGTAATCTTTTCAACTACACGTTTATATCCCTTCATGATAACTGGTAAACCCATTACGGTTATATCTGCATATCCAATCCTAGTAGATTGAGATTGTTTTCTACTTCTCCCTTGGAAATTTCTCATCAGTTCCATACATAATGCTGCTGCACGATCTCCATCCCTCTACAAAATGCCATACAAACAGTGATGATACACTAAGCTTTCTCTCTCTCTCTCTCTTTTTAAAAAGGACACTATCCAATGAACCATTATCATGAATTAAAAATAGTCTGGGTCTGAAGTACATGATGAAATGCACAATTTATTGACAAGTATTGACATTTTCATCAAAGCTAGTGATACACAGCAAAACTGGTGAAGAAGTACTAAGAAAGAGAACATATACTTATAAAAGATTTATAGATTTTTAGAAGCAGTTACCAGAACCCATCTGATATGATTTAAGATGGGATGATAGAATGCTGACAGTAAGGAACACATGTCAGAATTGTATTTTTGACACGTATGGTCTGTAGGTTTGTGTGATTGTTACTCAAACTCAGGGCCAGCTGAGTGAGCTGCTTCAAATGCCCCCTCCCATGTGTGACACCACTGCAGAATGGATCCAAGATGGTAGCAAAATGGGCTGCCAAACCAGCTGGTGTCTACATTACTAATGCCTGAGAGTTTGGTGCCCTAAGTGGTTCCTTGGGCAATAAACCACCCCAAACAAACTGGAAATGCTATACAGAACCAGCAGTACTTAATTTCCTAAGTTGCTGGAATCACAAATGCATACAGATCTTTTGATATAACTTCCTACTTTTGATATAACTTCCTAAATTTACCTGAAACATTTCTTTGAAAATGTGCTAAAATGAAGAATGTTTATGACCAATTTCTATATGGGCAGCCTAAAGTTTCAATTAAAAATGACAGGTTAGGTTCCAGAAGTTTGGACAAGACTGAATTCTGTCATGCAAATACCACATAACATATCTGAGATTAGACAATTATTATCACCTGTTCTGCCTGTACTGTGTCCCCCCCCCACCACATTCATACCACAGGCAGTGGCTGTAATACAAGCAGTGCCTAACAATGCCACCCTGATCAGAGTGACACCCAACTAAGTAAAAGACTAACAACAGCATCTTATATGATACGTGTGAGAAAAGGAGAAAAGTACTTCCTTCTCAACCTG